GAAGTGGTGAGCGTAGGAAGGTGACGTATGGGAGAGGCCTCCTCGTGGGCAGGCCCTGCCGCAGGTCTCCGAGGGTCGCGTTCACCTCGATGCCGGCGGAGGGCTTTTTGTTGAGGAAGGTGAATGCGGCGGCCCCTCGACGGGGCTGGCTCATGGCAGTTCCCCTGGGCTGAGGTTGGTGGCGTCTACGCGGCGCCATGGTTGTCCGGGTGCGCGTCCGCCGTGGTGGCGCCGATCATGTAGTTAGTTGTAGCCGCGGTGTTCCTCATGCCCGGCGTGGTCATCTCCCATCGCCGTCCACTATGATGATTGGGCGGCGGGGGTCGTTGATCCTAATGGCGCGGCGATGGTCGATGCGTCTTTCGCTGGTGAACGGGAGCTACGTTGCCCAGCTGCGCCCCTGATATGCGCCGCTCTGGCAACGGTGTCTGCGAACGTCCTGTTGAAGGTCGGTCGGGGCTGCGGCCCTCCTGAGGCCTCTGCCATCGGACACGCTGCTTATCAATGCCGCCAATGACGGCGTGATTGCGTGGTCAGTCGGCGTGGACATTGGCTGCTCGCGTCGGTGCCTGCAAGGTTGGCGCGTTTCGCATCTGTCACAGTCGCATAATGTGTGGCTCGCCTGTCACTGTTGCCCAGCAACTGCACGGCTGTCAGGGTTGGCGGCGGTGCCTTCGGGATGGTTCTGGTGGCATTGGCTGTCGTGGACCCTGCATGTCGCGCTCGCCATCGCCGCTGGTTCGGACGTGTCGAGTCGGCGTTGTGCCGGCGCCGCCGCCGTGTGACTGCATTGCGTGATCCAGGAGGTCGCTGATCTGTTCGGTTAGTTATGTTCCTTGCAATCTCCTTCTGGGCGTCGGTGGTCTCGGGTGGCATTGGGTCATTGGTCGGGCTGTCTGTGCGTAGCCACTATGTCTTCAGCGGGAACCCCCCTGGCATTGCCCTCCGCGTAGCGGCTGGCTTTCAGTTCGCGGATGCTGTTCTGCATCGCGCGGCACATGTCCTCCTCGACGTCTTTGTCCACCGATCAAGCTTGCGACGTTGTTGGCAACGTCGCGTTACGCGCCGCGGTTGTCAGCAACTTGGCTCGGCCGTTGTAGTTGTTCGTCCTCGCGCGCCGTTGGCATCGTCGGATGGGAGGTCTTCTTCTGCGGCGTGGTCGCTGGCTCCTTGCAGGTATGCGGTATATTGTATGGTGCGTAGTTGCTGTCTGATGGGTTGCCCTCTGTGGCGGCGCCGAGCGCTGCCCCGCCCCTTGCCTGCGGGGAGGGCCTCGGGGCGCGCATGCGGCGCGGTGTCTGACATGGCCGTTGGCGGGGCGGCCGTAGGCCACGGCGGGCGTTGCGGCAGGTCCCGTTGGCCGAGTTGCCTGCTGTCTCCCGTTGCGCGAGATTAGGTCATCTTGCTGGCCTTTCGTTCGCATTGGTCCTGTCCATCGATTCTTTCGGGCGCGCGGTACCTGCCGCGTCGGCGGTGCTGCTGTTGCTGAACCTGACAGCTCCTGGCGGCGGTGATTTGAAGTTGGGTGCTTTGCTCAGCGCCCCAACTGCTGTGATCGTCGTCTTGGTGGTCGGCACAACGTCTGTCGGTAACGCGTCATCGGCCGGGTTGTGTGATCCGTCATGTGTTGAGGAGGGTGCTGGCGTTGTCGGTGCTGTGGTTGCTTCTGGCGTTGGCGTGTGCTTTTGTTGGTTCGGCATTCGGCACTGGGTGCGCTAGGTCGGGTGAGCGCAGGGACATTGCTTAGTCGATCTGCTGCTGCTCGCCCTGGCGGTCAGTTGGGGCTGGCCCCGCTCCCATGCCGGCTGTAGGCGTTGTCGTTGGAGACTCGGAGACCCCTGCATACTAAAACTCACTGATGGTCCTGATGGCGCCTTCGAAAATCAGTGCGCGGTCTCACCTGGGCCCACATGAGTTGTCGTGGGCACCTTGCTGCTTCGTTGGCTTCCTCGAGGTACTGTGCGAAGCGGATGGTATCCACCTTGTGCAGATAGTCGAGCATGGTGTCGAGCTGCTCCGTCTAGCCACTGTTCGTGTCGTTGGAGGTCGCTACGGAGGACTCCAGCACGCCAAGGCCAGTGTAGACAGACCTGGCAATGGGTGATAGTGACCGTTGCTTTCGTGGTGGTGGCGGCCGTCTGTGGACACGCGGCGCCAGTGGCGCGTGCCAAGGACAGTGTTGTGGGATTCTTCGTGGTAGACGGCTTCGACGTGGGTAGAAGGGAATCCGCCGACCCTGTCGGCGTGTGGGAGAGGCTTTTCCGTCTTCCCCACAGCGTCGTCACCTCCTCTGCTTTCCGAGGGCTCCCTACACAAGTCCACATAACAATTGAACAACGTCGCCTTCCTTTGATTCCTTCCCCGCCGGGTGGGGGGGGGTCCGGAAGGGGGGGTCCCGGGAGGGGGGTCCCCGGGCGACTCCCCGGGGGGGGGTCCCCCCTCGGATACGCAGCCCCCCGCCTCTCATCCTCCTGCGTCCTGGGGCTTTGTTGGCCCTCCGCGGCCGTCTGCGGGCCCTTTCAGCCCATCTTAAAACTCCTTGGAGACATTTACCTTTCGCCATTTTGTTACTCTCTTGGCAGCCTCTGGCGGTACTCTAGACAGCCTCTGCGGGCACTTTTGGACCTCGCTTGACGCCGTCTTGGAACCCTCTCGGGCCACTTGAGGGCGCTCTTTGCCTATCTTGGCACTCTCTGGAACCGTTCCTGAACCCTGGAGGAGGCCTCTTGAGCTGTCTTCGGACGACCGTGCAGGCATCTGGCGCCGTCTTCGAGCCATCTGAGGGCATGTCGGACTCCTCTACCTCCATTGTCTTCGTCGTCGCTGCCTACAGGGTCGGCGGCATCGGCCGTAAGGCCTTCACAATAGGCATATCCATCCCGTCTGTAGTGTATGGTTGTTGTGATCGTCCCATGTCGATTCTTGGGTGTCCAATTTGAAGTTGGGGACTCGGTCCGTCCAGGCGGTCGGCGAGGGGTTGAGCCACGAGACCCATGGTTGTTGGAACGGCAGCTCGTGGCTTCGGGAGCAAGGCATCCCTGAAGGCCTCTGGAGCTCCCTCAGCCGTTGGGCAAGCTGGGCTCGGCTGCGTCGCTTTCGGTGCGGGGGATAGGATACATTTGCGGTGGCGGTGCTGGGCTGGTGTGTGTTGTTGGTGTGGTGTGTCACGCATGGGCCCAGTGCACTGGTTGCCTGCTGGTGTGGGGCAAGTGGTGCTGGCTATGCGGTGAGTCCTCTGTTCTGCGGCTGGCTGTTTCTGTTGGTGGCGTGTGCTGGTCTGGATTGGTTGCGCCTAACAATATGATTACCCGCGGGGCTGTGTTAAATCAACTCGCTGGCCCTTTGGTGCGGCATCAACCAACGATCTGTACAACAACTCCGTGGTCGTCTGTGGAACCGTTTGTCGTGGAAGTTGCGCAAAGCCGTTAGCACTTTGTTTCCTCGTTCTCGGATGTCGCCGTCAAGGTGGGACACGAGTTCGTGGATTTCGATCGTTCGCATCCCGCGGGCACCCTCAATGATGATGGAGTCGGGCTCCTCCCATGGTGTCGCGATACGTGGTTCAGGATGTTGTATTTGTATGGCCTCGGTGGGCTCTATTTTCGTAGGTTCAACAGTCGTGATAACGGCTTGGGCGAATGCCTGGCTAGCCCGTTGAGCTCCACGTCGCCGAAGGGGGCCCAGCGTGGGTTGTCGTTGGAGGGTGGGTCGTAATGACCGTCGCACCTGCTGTCGCACTCGCCTATGACAACGGGTGGAACACAGTACTCCGTAGTGTTGCAGGTAGTCCAACTTGCCGTAGGTGTGACCAGTGGCACATGAGTGCCGGCTGGATCGTCGTTGTCGGCGTGGAGTCCGCCGAGGGTCTGGGCCGTCATGCTCCAGTTTCGTGGGCCGTGGGCAAGGTTGCCACTTTTTGGGTGGATCGCCCTGGCGCCGTTGGAGAAGATGACGTCGGCCACATAATGTATTACAAGGGAGGCCCGTCCACAAGAAACCTTCTGCAAGAAACCCAACCCTGAGACCCGAGGACGCCCCTTGATTATTGGTGCGGGAACGTCACGCCTTCCAAAAGCATCGAAACCCAAGGAGACCAGGGCACCCTGGAGGCAAGCGGGGTGTTCCTCAGCATGGCCCCCCACTGTAGTGGCGTGGCTTCGCCTCCTTGGGCGATAGTGCCGTCGACGTGTTGGTGCCATGTGAGGAAGTCCATCTTTCAGGGGGACGTAAGACCTGGGTACAGGGGACTCGGAAATCCCCGACGGGGTCGTCAAAAAAATGACGAGGCCGAGCCTGCATTTTGACGAGGCCTCCCGCTGCAGACATCCCACGAAACTCCTCCTCGTCAAAATCCGAGGCGCGGTCGTCAAAAAACGATGGCGAACCCGAGTCCTGGCAAACCCGGGTCTTACGCTCCCCCGAATCTTCTTGCAGGCCTCCTGGGTGTAAGTGACCGAATGGATAAACCTCCGCTCCGCGTCCTCGGAGCCGGGCGTCTTGTAGCCCTGCCCGCGAAGATTCTTGTGGATCTGCTGAGTGTTGGTGAGGGCCTCGCCTTTGCTGCTCTGGTACTCGATTGTCGTCGTCGTCGTCGTCATGCTTCTTCTCCTCCTCTCCTCCTCCTCCTCCTCCTCCTCCTCCACTTCCTATCCAGACCCCCAGCGATGTGACTGTTCAACGGCGCAGACCCCTGGGGACCGGCTTTGCACTCGCCGTCATTTTCTGACGGTCCCAGGGCCCAGTCGGGGCACCCAGAAGCCAACACTTGCCCCCTAGAACAATCCCGCCCTGATTCGTTCCCTAGGCTACGGCATGTGCACCCTACCCCTGCAGATCAGATGTCCGAACAAACGGTTGGGGCTCAGAATTGGGAGGATGCCTGCAGCCAGGCCAACCCCACAGGGAGTGTCCGATACCCCGGCGTCGGGGTAGGGTTCGCAAGTGGTCGCAGAGCCACGGCGCGAGGAGGTCGGGGTCTGGTCGCGCGGCGACGGCGCCGCCTGCGCGATGTCCTCGTCGCCGTGCTGCGCCAGGGTCTGCGCCAGCGCCGAGGCGGAGGTGGACATCCCGCCCGCGCGAGGGGGGCGTGCGCTGGTGGCGCTGCTCGTCGGCCGACGGAGCCAGAGGTTCGACGAGCCGCGGCGCGGAAGCCTTGGAGGAACGCGGGGACCCGCCTGCGCACGTCGTGCTACCATAGGGAGTGCGGGCAAAAGAACGATGGTCTTTCTCTGGCCACGGCCGGCCTCGGCCGCGGAACGTCCCGAAAACCAGGGCCCCTCCCGAGCACAACGCGGTCCTCCCTCCTCCCTCCCTCCCTCCCCCCCTCCCTCCCTCCCTCCCTCCCTCCTCCTCCTCCTCCTCCTCCTCCTCCTCCTCCTCCTCCTCCTGATTCCAGCGTCTTGGCTGTACCCTGACGCCCGGACGCTGGCCCGGCAGGCCAGGCTGAAGGAACAACCCACGGCGTCGTAAGCAGGAACTTTCGGAGGTCCGCGCGGATCTCCTCGGTCGGCGCTGGAGCCCTCCCGGCGACGCCTCTGTCGCCGCCCCTCGCGCGCTCCGCGCGCCAGGGAAGGGGGTCCAGCGCCGATCCAAGAAATCCGCGCGTACCTCCGACCGTCGCTTCGATACCGTTCTCATTGTCCGAGGGGTGGAGGCGGGACGCCGCGGCCGTCGGAGTGGGGGCGCGGGCGGTCTGGGCCCGCCGTGGTGCGTGCAGCCTGCTTCAGGGTCGTATCTTCGGGGTGCCGCCCACAAGCGTTCTGAAACACTCACACGGGTGCCCCGTGTGGGAGGCTTGGGTTATCCGAGTTAGGGCGGCCCCCCATGAGTGATGGAGCGGCGCGCTTCTCTCTCCCTCCCTGCCCTACGCAGCCGTGCCCCCCTTCCTTGTTTCACCTTTTCTGCGCTCCCCCCGTCCCTAAGATTCGCTTATTTGACGAACTGATAGGGCCAACAAAAAAAAACATCTGGAATCATTAAACCGCATGCCCCTGAGAGATCCACCTTGGGCAAAATAAAGTTCGGGGCCCAGGGGGATAATAAACACTTCCCCGGCAGATCGGATGATCATGATCATGATGATGATGATGATGATGATGCTGATGATGATGATGATGATGATGATGATGGTGGTGGTGGTGATGATGATGATGATGATTGTGGTGGTGGTGATCGCACTCCCCTGAGCGCGCCAGAGAGGGGGGCAGTTCAGCTGCCCTCTGCCGCGGGCCTCCTGATGAGCAGGCTCCGCACGCCGCGCCCCTTCTTGGCAATGTGGCGGGCACGCGCGCGCAGGAGAGGCAGCAGGCATTCGGGCCCGAACCTGTGCGAGCTCCTCAAGGAGTTAAAGGTAGAAAAAAGCAGGTCGTGGACAAGAAACAAGGAGAACAGCTGCTGACTAGACTGGCATGGCATAGTGCACAGCATACGCGCATCGAGGCTCTGATTCAAATATTCGACTGGCAGGAATGGCAAAACAGAATGGAGCAAGCTCAGGACATGAGGGCAATCGAAGTAATGCTGGACGTGGTCGCCGCCTGTGGCCAGGCAACCGAAACGGCAGGTAAGACGGCCTTGCCTATACCTGGCAGAGGTCGCCCACGCGTTGCAGATGGTTTTGAGAATGGCCGCAGCCACAAATGGGCCGACGCGCGTGCAGGCAATTTGGAGCCTGAGCACCGCAAGGTCGATACTAGAGGCATCAGCAAAAGGAAAAGCGAACCGAATTCGATTGCCCAGGAGAAAACTCGCGGAGCTACAAGGGGCCTCAGAAAGCAATTTCTTCAAAATCTGTCTCTGCAACTCGTGAGTGTCCTCATCGAAGTGGTTCCACGGCAGGGCAGTTAGTCGCTCGTAATTGTGAATCAGGTGGAAAACAATGGACTCGGCACGCCATGCCGGGTATCGCTTGACCATCAGAACATCCAAGTCCTCTTCCTCAAGCTCATGAAAGCGCTTCCGAATGCTATCAAAAACCTTAGACCGAACAGCGACCCGATACATGGCAGCCTGATTCTCCAGCACTAGGTTGCGCGGGGCAATGGGCCAATGCAACGCAGACGAGAGATTGCGGAGAAGATCAGTAGGGATGCTGTAGAAGGGGCACGCGGTGAGAGTCTGCAAACCTTTGGTTTCCATGCGAAGAGCGTCCTGCGATATGTAACATAGCTGCATCACGAAGGTGGGAACCGAGAAGGCCAAGGAGTTATATGCATAGATACTTTGAGTAAGCCCAAGACGAAGCGACCGAACATGACGGACACGATTAATATATTTCTGAAGCGGAGCGGACCAGGATTTCTTGTAACCTCCAGGGCCCAGAAAGACACCCAAGACTTTGCCACTAGTGCCGTGCATAAGCGAGCGAACGTTGGTGCGAACGGACTCGAACAGGGCGAAATGCTGGTCGTCTGGCATCTCTTGCACGTGCACGATCATACACTTGGCAAGGTTCAAGAGCAGGCCAGTGCAACGGCTGGACCTAATAACATTCTTCAGCACAATCGGAACAGCGAGCAACAGGTTGGATGCCGAGATCTGGATGTCATCTGCAAAGGCACGAGGGGTAGCACAAACAGGAGCTAGCAAGTTAGATAATCGGCGCAGCAGCGGGTCGATGCATAACGCAAATAAAGCACCCGACAGCGGACATCCTTGTTTAATGCCTTGGGTGATCGAGTAGCCTGGAAACTTCTTTCCTGCTAGGCAAGTGTGTGTGTAAATACCGGTGTATAGGAACCGAATGGCATTCACGATATACATGGGTATGTTCATCATGATTAGCACATCTATGATCCAGTCGTGGCGCAGCGACGGGAACGCGGCGCGGAAATCCAAGAGGAGTAGCCCAGCGTGCGGCATGCCGCGATAGCAGGCGCATTCAAGAATGTCTGCCTCAAGGCAGAGCAAGTTGTCGAGCATGGACCTCTTGCGCACGAAACCCGTCTGGGAGCCTAAGACGCTGTATTGGTATTGTTGGCTAAATGGTTCGCATATGGCCAATGATACTATTTTGTTATCAGTGTTGCTGAGAGCAATAGGGCGCACCACAGACGCTTCCCGAGAGATCTCAGAGGTTCCAGCTTCGTGAGGGCAGAAGGCCTTAGGGAGGTATACCGTGAGAGACTCGTTGAAGCCTTTATGCGGGGGCCCATATGTAGGATTGTCCAATATCGCGAGATAAACTTGATACAAGGCATTGTGAGCAGCGTCTCCAGCGAACCGCCAGGCACTGTAGGGAATTCCGTCAGGGCCAGTCGCGCTGTCCTTGCGGCTGACGAGCTTACCTATGAAGCTATGCAGGTCGAGCGTCCACTCGATACCTGGGGCAACCTGCTGAATCTCACTGCTCAACAGTGTCTTCTGGAAGTGGTATCCCCTGTCCTGAGGCTTCGCGGCATGGACCCGCCCCCAGTGGGACGCAAGGTTCTGAGCACTGACTTCGAGATCAGGCGAGGGGTTCCCGGTGGGGTCGGGGACCGAAGCCAAAACGATTCGGCGCCTTTTGGGAGACCACTGTCGCAGAAGCTGGTGCAACCTGAGGCCTCGATCGTCGTCGGGGGCTCCGCCACCCTCGACGTGTTCGCGAATTTCTCGCTGAAGCAGAATGCTGGAGCTCGGCCATTTCCCGATAAAACGACACAGAATCTCTAAAACAACATTCATCAGCATGAACATGTAGACTAAGATGAGGAATAGCTTGGATACACCTCCGAACGCCCCAAGACTTGCCATCCCGAACAGCCCGTAGAAACTTCAGGTAAACCGACAACTTCTGCGCATCATTGTTGGGGCCTCGGAAGAACATGCGAGTCATCAGAGCATCCTTGGCAACATACATCGCGTCTTTGACGGACAGGAGGTACTCGAACGGGCCCCTGGGCATTTCAACCGAACTTATGGCAGCATCAACCTCAGAACCAAAATCAGGATGTTTGGCAATCCAGGAGGGGATCGTCGGGGTAGTTCTGCCGCCAGGCGAAAACTGAAGCCAAACAGGAATATGGTCGCTCGGCTGGGCGACATCGTGAGCAAGACCTATGACACCGCTTCTTGGTGTCGCATCAAGAACGTCGGTGGTGGCAGAAGAGATGTAGAACCTATCCAGGCGACCAAGGCTGAGAGCACCGTCCTCCCTCCTCCCAGTCCGATGAGTGGGCTCCTGTTGGGCAACTTCAGCAAAGTGTCCGAAAGCCCGAGAAAACATGTGTAGAATAGCGGTCCTCTCAGGGGTGGGCTCCCTTCCGTCTGTGAACGTCCTCATCTCCCCCTCCTCCAAGAAGTTAAAATCGCCTCCCAAGATGACTGTGGCCTGGTCAGCAGGCAGAGCGTGAGCAGCAACCGCGCGGATCACACGATCCTTCTCAACGTCGGAGAGGGTAGGGTCGAGGTGAAAGTTAATCAATTGCAGCGTGCCTTTCTCGCCTGTCAGTGTAACTGCTATGCATCGTCCATCGATAATGTTAACTACGTGGATGTCCTGAAAGAGCTGGAGCAAGGAAGGATCAATAGACATGGTAACGCCTCCCGCAGCCGCAGAAGAGCAAAAAGAGCCAAGGTGCGTGTGTGCTGGCACGTCACGATCCAGCGAGGAAAGATCTTCTTCGGTCCCGTGGGTTTCCTGCAAAAATACTACTTGAAAGCGTTGTACAAGACTTCTGAAAATCTGCTGTTTCCGATGCTGTCTCTGTGGATCGCCGTAAACACTGCCAAAAAATGCACGAGTATTCCAAGAAGCAAGACCCATAGCACGAGAAATAACAAATGGATGCCGCTGCTCAGCAAGAGCAGCTTCACCTCCCCCAGGAGAGTGTGGATCAGGAAGGTAGGGATCATGAATAGCTGGAGCATTCCCAGGAGGAAGAGAGTCAGGCGGTGTCGAAGTGGCCTCCCCCCGTTCTCGCAGCAGGGCTCGCAAACGTTCAGGATCGAATTCATCGTCACTATCGCTCCCAGATACTGGCTCACTCCGCCCCTATTCGCGGCGAAGCGCAGCAGTGACCAGCTCGGGCAGCTTGTCTACTTGCTCGTCGGTGAAGCCGTAGCGCTTCAAGTTGCCGCGGTTGGG